TTGCCTGGGTCTCATCCCAGATGCTGACTGAATGGACCTGTGGGTGTGGCCTGGGCAGGATTTCTGTAAACATCCATCCCCAGGTGGTTCCACTGTGTGCCAAATTGAGAACCTTCAGCTTTTTAGCAAGGACTCTCTCTTGCATTCTCCCGGTATCTGCATTATTTCGGGTTCTCAATTTATTTATCAGATAAAGAAAAAGGAACCTGACAATGCTTGTCAGAGACTTGCTGAAGCTTTAAGCCCAAAGCCCGCAGACATTGTTTTTTATTTGTAGGGTCACTGAGATCCCTTTCTCAAAGTGTGAGCCTTAGATCAGTAGACCGCCAGCATCCCCTGGAGCTTGTTAGAAATACAGAAACTTGTCTTAACTGTGAAACTTGCCGCACAAATGGCTTCGCCCACCTCCTACACTGGACTTCACAAAGCAGCTCAAGGCTGTTCCCTGGGGCGACCCAGCCCTCCCCCAGTCCCTGGCCTGGGAAAGCTCAAGGCTGGCAAAAGAACTTGGCTTGTTCAAGCCAAACACCTGACTGTAGGTCTCTGACCTCCCTTTTCTTAAGAGCATTCATTTAAAAAACTTACAATTGTGAATCCTCTCTCTGTCTGAGATGTGTCAGTCTATATCGCCTGAAACCCAGGAGTGTCTTTCTCAAGGACTGGGAGCCATCCCTTTGAAATGCAATCATCAGAACAGATAGGGCCCATCCCCGCCTCTGTGGGAGGGAGAGGCCTAGGGTGATGGCCAGTTAGCAGACACAGATGGCCTGATCACATGGAGCAACCCCCAGCCCGCTTTCTGTGATGTCCCACCTCCCCGACTCTGTGTGAGGCCGTGTCTCCTTCCCACGCCTTCATTCTCCCTTAAAACTCCATCACCTCTGCGCAGAGCCCAGCCGCGCTGTTTTATAGAGGCCTCTCCTTTGCTCCCGTTACTGAAGAAAACCTGCCTTCACTGCCTTGAACCAGGGGCTGGCTTTTTCTTACCGTCTCCATGTTAACAAGCCCCTTAGGTGATCTGCATGTACAGCAAAGTCTGAGCAGCACTGTCTCACAGTATTTATCATCCCCTCAATGACTTTAACCAGGGTCCTCAAACTACGGCCCGCGGGCCACATGCAAATACAAATATTGTATTTGTTCCCATTTTGTTTTTTTACTTCAAAATAAGATACGTGCAGTGTGCACAGGAATTTGTTCATAGTTTTTTTTTAAACTACAGTCGGGCCCTCCAACGGTGTGAGGGACTGTTTACAAAGTTTGAGGACCCCTGCCTTTAACAAACAGCCCTGCTGGTAGACAGGAATGATGATGCTCCTTTTACCAGTGAGGGAGCTGAGGGCCAGAGCTTTGCTCAAAGTCCCACAGTTAAACTAGAACGTGAACCCATCTCACAACTCAATGTGCTGCTCTTTGCACAACGCCACACCAGTCAGAGAAGGAAGACCCACTGCTCAAGGTCACAGGAGTAAAACAGCTGGCGAGGGAGATCATAACAAGGTTTCCCTTATGCATCCACTGCGGCAATGTCCTCACAGGGTCAGCTCTTCTTTAGCTGCAAGAGAGCCATTTCAGAATCACGGGTCTCCCAGGCACCACAGAATTCTCATCTGAGCTATCCTTTCAGTAGCTGGAGTCCCAGGGGCCCCAGCTCCTTGGGATGAGTCACCGTATGACCCAGGTGAAGTCCTGAAGGGCGTGCCCTGGAGGCTCAGGAGCCCAGCCCCTCTCAGGCCTGTGAGCACACACACTGCTGCTGCCACATGAAGTCAGACCAGTCACCGCCTGAGCCCTGAACCGGCCACCTCACCCCCACACATGCGGAAATGCTGATTTTTCACATCCACTGTCTTTGGCACAGGCGATGTAAATTCAGCCATCGTTATGGTAAATCTTTTTATTGTTGGCTTCATCAGAAAAACTTGTATTACAGACAATTTCTGCTGCATAATTTTAGTAAAGCCAGAGATGATCATTTCTTCTAGAAAAACAAACCTCTGCAGTTAGAAAGGAAGACAAAAAACAGATTTCATTTTATGATCTACCTTTATCAAGCCATCCAGAGCACATCAGTTCCTTTATGTTATTACTTTAATGTTATTTAACAACTCATTATAGAAAACACACAAGCCAAAAGCCTTCTATCCTTAATCTTCTAGTCAATCACCAAATTTCCCTAGATTTTTAAAGACATGAAAGTAAACTCATCTCAAATAACAGCACCTCAAACACCATACACGTTTGTAATGCGGTGCTCCAGCCAATTTTAAGCCTCGTGTTTTCCAGGTTTTAGCTGAAATACCCTTTACTCACATCTTAGGTTATCAGTGTTATTGGGGCCTATTTTGTCTTACTAAACAGAGCACAGTTAAACCAATTAATGATCTAGACTAAGAAGATGGCCTAAGTGGCACGAGTGGAAACCGGGCATCCTGGGGACACAGGTGAGCCCCCAGTTATCCCTGAGCTGAAGTCTGTGGTTTGATCTTCTTAGCAGCTTCCAGAACAGACATTAGGTTTACTTTATCTCCAAATTCTTTTTCTCGGTGCTCAAGAAGAATGCCCTGGAAGGAAAGGAGAGGGAACATCAGTCCTCATTCCGAGTCGTTCATTCATGACACCATGCCGTGCAGCAGCTGTCTGTTAAGCCCTGTGCTCGGGCAGCAAGGGACAGAGGCCGAATCAGGCTGGCTCTTCCCCTTGAGGATTCAGTCCTCGGGGGGCGGGTCAGGGGACAGCCAGGTCACAATGTCTGGACTGTACCGCAGCCTCCGGGAGTGGGAAGTCATCAGGCGATCACATCTCATCGAGCCATCAGGGAAGACTTCCCAGGTAAAGCAGGAGAGTCACCAGGGTGTCCACAGGGAGAGGTGAGGTAAAAGAACATGCCAGGCCAAGAGAAAGGAAAGAGCCCGAAAGTATGGGAGCGGAGCTCAGAGGTCAGCCCCTGGCAGGTGCTGACTGACCATCTGAAAAGAGGCCCTCTCTTCACGTAAGTTTTCCTAAGAAACGGGCCCTTCTTTCCGATGCTGGGATGGAAAATGCACTAAGACACAGGGTACCCCACAGTTCCCCGAAGTGGTAAGAAAGATAAAATAATGTGTTTGAGGTCAGAAGCAAGGCATCCTTGTTAAGCGTCCTTTGACCCATGACATGACATCTGGGAACTCATCTTAATTTAAAAAGTAAACAACTGTAAATGTGTTCGTTGTGCCATTGTTTATAAAGCCCCCTCCAAGCCTGTCAAACTCGCAAGGGGAAAGTCCCGGCACACAGGTGACTCAGGGAAGCTGACCAGGAAACTACTTGCCAGCAGAGCAGGATGAGACACTGCAGGGCTGCGGAGGGGCATACATGACAAGGGAATGTTCATGACCCACCATCAGGTGAAGAACAACATCTGGTTTAGTAAGAAACCACCTTCTGAAAACAAAACAAAAGGCCGCTCAGCTCCACTCTGTCCCAGCAGGTTCTCGGTGGAGGCCGAGCATAGAGGAAGCTCTCCCTACCTTACGCTGCTGTTTCGTTTTCAAACTGTTTATGTGGAAACCACATTCCTTCTTTAAAGTAATTATGTTTAAAGATGACCACAAAGGGAACCCCACGGAGGCACCCAGCACAGAGGGCCTGCGGAGCTCTGCCCGAGGGAACCCGGAGGCCAGTCCCGAGGCCCATCCAGCCGTCAGCTTCCAGCCCCTCAGCTTCCAGCAGGAAGGAAGGAGTTGGGAGCTCCAGGGAGCACCAACAAAGCCAAACACCACGCCTAGCAACTCCAGGGGCATACCAGCCAGGATGGGGAGCCCGTGAGCACCCCGTGAGTCACCGCCAGGCAAGAGAAGGCTGGCAGGTGAGCCAAGCCCTGCCCCGGGGCCAAGGGAAGGAGGGAGGGCGGGGAAAGAATCCGAGAGGGCCAGAGTGGGCAGAGGCGGAGCCATCCTCTGAGGAAGGGGGCAGCCCAAGTGTGAGGGCATCGGAAGGGCCTTGGGAAGCTCTGCTAAAGGGAGGCTGCGGTGAGGGGAGGGCAGGTGCGGGGCAGGGCAGACTGGAGTCCCGAGTCTCATTTCCACTGCACCCCTGACTAGCTGCACACTGCTGCCTGGGCTCATGTCTCTGGGCCCGTTTCCTTACACGTGGGTGGGAACAAGCACACCTAACGCCCCAGCAGGGCTGTGAAGACAGGAGAGCTGAGCCCCGGGAAGGAGTCAGTCCCTCTCTGGCAGCCATGTCACCACGACATTCCGGTATTGGCAGCAAGTCAGCAAATAGGTTTATGTTAAATTGGACACCAACTCACACCAGATTCTAATTCAGACCAGCAACAGCAGTTACCAAGCTTTAAAGGAGGGATTAGAAATGGAAATATTTCTATTCCCATTTGCTTTTATTCCTCCCAAATTAGGAAAAGTCTGTGAATTATCAGTGTTAGCTGTGAGGTCCACCAAGGCAGATGAGGCCACGAGTTTATGCCATGCTAAGGTGTCGGAGACCAGGCTGAAGTCAAGCCCCATCTCCAGGTTCTGCCAGGCCTTGGGAGCCTGCACCCATGTTATGCCCTCCCTGCTCTGCGTCCTCCTGGCCGCTGCAGGCACTGCCCTCTGGTGCAGGGGAACCACCATGGCTCGAGGCTGCCGAAGGTCTGACATGGAGCAGTCACCCGCCTGTCCCCCTCCAGGACCCACAGAGACCTCATCTCCCCACACACAACCCTGGGGTCCCCGAGCTACTCCGGACCCTCACAGCCAGGGCCTGAGAGACCTGGGCGGTGAGCACATTACCCGCCGAGGCAGTTCCACCCCCAGGACCCCACAGCGGGAAGCGGTGTCTTCCCACATCTCCATGCTACTTCCCCTCATCAGGTCTGTTTGAATCTTTCCTCCTTCCCTTTTCTCCACTGTCCACCCTTGTGGACCTGGGAATACCACAAAGAAGTACCTTCTCGACAGGGAAACCTATGCTTTTGTTCAGGCACAGAAAGCAGAACTCAGCTCACAACGCCTGGCTCAGGCCCCGGCGGCCACTCCCTCGCCTGTGAACTGTGAGGCGTGAGATCCGTTCCCGTTCCCCTTCCCCTTCCCCTTCCCCTTCCCCATGGCCGGCTTTCTGGCCTTCTCCTCTCTCTCCCCTCTTCCTGGGAAACCACTAACACTTGCTTTGTTCTTTGCCCAAACGCCTTCCAGGTTTCCAGAGAAGCCTCCGCTCCGGGCCCGGAAGAAGTTGCTCCAGACGCCCAGCCGGACGAACCCCATGAACATCATCTTCCGCCTCTGGGGGCCGTAGAACTTCTTCTGTAGCAGGGAGGACAGACCCTCTGAGTACCTGGCTGCCCACCTTCCCCAGGGGGCACAGGCTCCCAGCAGGGCGCTGGTTTTCAGACTCAAAGGCTGCTGGTTTGTGTCCCCACAACACACACACACACACCCTTCCCCCAGGAGCACTGGCCACGAGGGCCTGGCCCCCAGTGTTCAGCCCTGACTCTGACCTACTGCTAGAGACTAAAGGGCTCCTGGGCCTGATGGGTGACTCAGTCCCACATTTGTAGAGGGGAGGCCGGAGGGAAAACAAATATGACTGCAATGAATTAAGGGACAGGGGCTTGTGCTGGGCCCCCACCTGCGGGTGGGGAGAACCAGTGGAGTTTCTGCCACTTCCTAGGCAACCATTCCCAAGTGACAATTCAGGAAGCACTCAATTAACACGTGGGAGGACAGCTTTTCAGTGTCTGCTCAGGCTCCACTCAGAGGCTGGGAAGGCCCTGCAAGTTCAGGGCAGCTGACAGGGAGCCCAGCCCAGCCTGCAGCTCCAGGCCACACACCCTCCGGTACCAAGCTCTCCACACCTAGCACAGTCCCCTGCAGTCCGTCACAGGCTCACGGACACACCTTTTCATCCAGGAAGATTTCTCCTTTGAAATAAGGCTGGAAGTCCTTCACTTCGGTCCTGACCTGCTCCTTCACCACGGCGTAGAGGGGCACGCCCAGCTCATCCAACTTGGGCTTCAGGGAGGACAGGTCCGCAGCCTCCTGCAGGAAAGAGCGAAGGTCAGGGCTCTGTGGCCAACCAACACCCACTTCCCTCTAGCCCAGAGCACGGCTGGCCCTGAATGTGGAAGAACAAAGGCGACAGAATGCCGTTAATAATTAAGGCCTGTGCCGCCCAGCACAGCACTGTCCCATGGGCATGAGGCCTCAGCACAGGCTTGTCTTCTACACGTGGGGAGGACGGGGCAGGCTCCTGTTATGGGTGTCCTAACCGCTGCCCAGGGAGCATCCAAAAACTAAGAGATTGCAGCCAAACATGGTCATTTACTCCTGGCTATGATGCTTCTCTCCTAACTCATCTTCTAGCCCCTCCCTTGTACTAGACCAAAATAGCACAAGGGTCTATTGGACCAAAAAGCAGGCCTGGGGATAGCTGCCTCCACACTCTGCTCAGCTGGCTTCCCCTCATGGCAATAGCCTGCCTCCTTTCTGCAGCTCAGCCCCTACCCTCCAGGAAGGGAGCCCTGTTCTAAAACTCCCCTGCCCGCCGGCCTGGGGTGAAGACCTGATTCTCTGGGCAGATCCCACCCTTCCTGCTGGCGACTCCCATACTGAGTCTGTGTGTTACCACTAAGCTGAGCCCTGGCTCTTCATTCCCAGGGTGCCCTGTGGCTAGAAATTGTGTCTCCATTTCCTGTACCCCTCAGTGCCTAGCACACCGCAGGGGGCACAGAAGGCACTAGGTACCAGGTGGGAAGAGCCGAAGGCGAAGGTGGACACACAGAACACAGCTGAGCTGAGGAGCACGGCGTCCTGGACTCCCAGGAACCGCGCCTGGGTGACTAAGAACTGCCTGTGTCACGGAAGGCTTTGAAGCTAAGGACAAATCCCTTTTTCACATTTGGTGTCAGAATGAAAGAAAAAGCATGAAACCCTCCCAAATGCAGCTCACTCGCCTCCCATACAAGCACACTGGTGTACAGCGGCACTACGTTTAATTTTTCATTTATTTTCTAGAACAACAGCAAAAGGACAGCCAACGAAGCAGAATTCATTACAGGGCTTTACAGGCTTCGGTGATGGCAAGCTTTGCCCCGGAGCAGAGAGGACTGCAGGCCCGATGTGTGTGACATGAGACGTTTCACTCACTTTTCCTGGGCTCTCTACTCTGGGTGTGTCCCTGTGCAAAGCTATGAATGGACAGTCACGGACCTCCTCCCCAGGCCACTCAAAAGAGCTCAGACTGCCATCGGACCATCGTTTTAGAAACACAAGTTCCGACAAAATGCTCTGCTGGGGCAGAGACTAGTGCCCAGGAAGCAGGCTGCAGCCTTTGGGGCTAACCTGCGTGAGAAACAAGTCACAGCAGGCCTCGTGCTGGTGCCTGGAGGTATCACAGATTTGGAATCAAAAGCTCTGAGTGTGAACTATGGGAGGACCTCTGAGGAGGCCCTACCCGGATCCCAGGAGCCTGTGAATATGTGCTGTTATAAGCCAAGGGGGAAATAAGGCAGCCGGTGAAATCTGGGCTGCCCATCAGCTGACCTCAAAGGAGACTGTCCTGCATTACCCAAGTGGTTCCCAGGTGGAATCACAGGGTCCTTAAATGTGGACGACTAAACAGGAGAGTCTGTGTCACCGTCACGCATGTGAGAAAGACTCGCCCAGCCACTGCTGGCATTAAAAATGGAGGGAGGGGCCACGAGCCAGGACTGCGGTGGCTTCTCGGAGCTACTGGAGGGCGGAAGCTGTTTCCCTCCTACACCCCCCAGAAGCACAGACCCGCTGAAACCTGGACTGTAGCTCCATGGGGCCCGTCTCGGAATTCTGACCTCTAGAACCGTGAGATAATAAATCTGTCATGTTTAAAGCTGAGTTTGTGATAATTTGTGAAAGCAGCAATAGGAAGCTAGCATGCCTCCCCTCAGCGGTGTGACTTTGCCACAGTCCCTGTACCTCAATTTCCTCCTCTACAAAATGAGAATAACAACAAGCTGTATTTTCCAGGGATGTGTGGGGCACGAATGGAGTATCAGGCGTGGCAGCGCCCTGAATGCAGGTGCAGCAGAGCACACCACGTCCCGCCGTAAGCAGCTTCTTTGCCAGCCCGCCCACACAAGCAGGGGACAGACGGGCCAGGCGGAGGACGCCTCAGGGTCAGGGGGCACAGCCAGAGGAGGAGGAGGACAGCATGGATGCGGACATGCCATCGAGAAGCAAAGCCGTCTCAAGAGCAGAAGCACTGTCACTCCCCCTCTCCCCAGGCAGGGCCCGGATCTCAGACCTGGGTCTTCTGCCACTGACTGACTTGTGTGACCAAACTAGTCCGGCCCTGGGTTTACCTGTCTGGAAAGCGACAAGGCTGGGCCCTGCCCTCCTCTGACAAGCTTCCTCACGTGCTGAACAGATGATGATGGCTTCCCTTGAGGGGCCAACCTGGAGACCGCCCAGTCAGTGACCCCAACTCTCACCAAACTCTCCTGCAAGCTCTACCCACACTATCGGCATGACTGAAACCCCCGAGCTCCAGACCCACAGCTGAGAGCACAGTGAGGCAACGGAGCTGCCACTTGCAAACGTGTGGCCCTCAGCTGTCCACCGGGACTCCAGGGAGACAGGCAGGTCCGTTCCAAAAGTGCGACCCTGGGCTCTTTTGTGCAGCCGCACCACAGGTGAGGGCTGGCATGCTTGTGCCAGCAACAGTCCAGGCACCTCCTTTCAATGAGCAAATCCCTGTGCTGAGCCCCAGGAACTGGGAATTGGGCCTGGTCCCCGTCCTGATGCAATAGGAAGGTAGTCCAGGACTCAGACAGTGTAAGAGTGATAGGGCTTGGGAGTCACACAGGACAGTCAAGTGTGCCGCTAACCCCAGGATATGGTGAGTGGTTCAATGAGCAGAAACAGAGAGTAAGTCCAAAGAAAAGCTAGAGCAAATAACAAAGGAAGGACCAGTGTTGATCAAAGGCCAAAGTGGGCCTGCAGGTCCCAGATCCCGGTCCCGGCTGGAGTCCTGGCCCTACCCTCTGGGGCCCTTTTCTCTGAACAGATCTCCAAATGCACTCACCTCTCGACAGAGGAAGCAGCCTGGCCTCCGCACAGCCATGATGACAGCGCCCTTCTTCTCCCAGAGCTCCTTTGCTTTGAAAGTCCTTGGTTCCTTCTCCAGAGTTTTCAGGTCTATTTCCTCCAGAAATAAACAAGTCCCAAATGAAAGAACGGAACACGCCCACCCGCCCTACAGCTCAGCCGTTCATCAGTGGTGCCAGGCCAACAGAGGGCCTGGACCTGCATTTCACACGTGGGAAAGCAAACAGGAAGCACAGACAGGAACAGTCATCCTCAGAGGAAAATTCATATAGTGTAAGGATCCTACTATATACTCCAAACGCCCCTCCTCCATAAAAAAATTATTTGCAAACTTGAACATCCCAAACTGTAACATTTCTGGAAAAGTGGCAGCTAAGCAAATCCCAACTCTTAAAAAAGTATTCAAAGGGATTAAGTCAATAGAAATTTTAAATATTTTTACCCCACAATATTATCCACAGGGAGGGTAGAAGACGCCTAACGAGGAACCCCTTGGGGTAGCTGGGGTAGTAGAGTAGTGTAGCTCAAGCCGGGCTCCAGGGCCAGAGCGAGTCTGCATCTAGCCATGGGACTCTGACCAGCTGGGTCTCCCCCTGGACCCCAGTTTCCTTGTCATAAAAGCAGCTGTCCAGCACGGGGCTACAGGGAGTATAAACAGACGGCTGTGTAAGTGATCGCCACAGTGTCTAGTAATAGTTACCGAGGGGTCAATCAGTGTGAACCCTTACTATTTTAACATTCCTTACAGAAATCCATGTCCCTGTGGGATGTTGTATAAAAAAAGAGAGGAGGGTGAGACTGGGAATCCCTGGGATGAACAAAGCAGGACTCGCCAATCCCTTAGAAAGACCACCTACATCATAAATCGCAGTCACAGTTCCTGCCCTCCTGACAAGCTTCCTCACGTGCTGAGCAGATGACGATGGCTTCCCTTTGAGGGGCCAACCTGGAGACCGCCCAGTCAGTGACCCCAACTTTCACCAAACTCTCATGCAAGCTTTACCCACACTATCGGCATGACTGAAACCCCCGAGCTCCAGATCCACAGCTGAGAGCACAGTGAGGCAATGGAGCTGCCACTTGCAAACGTGTGGCCCTCAGCTGTCCACCGGGACTCCAGGGAGACAGGCAGGTCCGTTCCAAAAGTGCGACCCTGGGCTCCCTGTGTGCGCAGCCGCACCACAGGTGAGGGCTGGCATGCCTGTGCCAGCAACAGTCCAGGCACCTCCTTTCAATGAGCAAATCCCGGTGCTGAGCCCCAGGAACTCGGACTGGATACAGTGTTTCTCAGATGTATTTGGCTGGGAGCTCCTATTTTGTGAAGATGAGGAGCCCAGAGTCCTTAGCACACACTCGGGAACAGCTGGTTTAGTAACTGGTGCTACAACATCACTAAATATTACAGAGCAAGTATCATTATAGTTAGAGAGACAGCAATAGAAAGTGAATAATCAGTTTGGTAAGAAAACCCTCAACTGTAAAACACCATGTACACCCAGATCACAAATATATAGTAATATGTAAGTAAACATGCAAAAAACGACAGAACTAAAAACAAGTATCATTAAGGTAATGGAGTTATCAGCCATTTAAAAAGTTATTAAATGTTCCCTAACATTGTTATATTATCTTTTCAATTAAAAAAAAAAGTTATTTTACACAGAAAAAACAAGCCTGCATGCCAGTGCCTTGGAAAAGTACTGAGGGCAGAGGGGTCGCTGCTTACCCTTCTCCAGAGTTTTCAGGTCTATTTCCTCCAGATACTCCAGGGTTGCTCGCTGGGGCTTGGACAGAAATAAGTCCGTGTTGGCCAGGAGCAGTGCCAGGGCAGCAGCCCCCAGGGCCCCCGCGCCGATGGACCACATCCCTACGGAGAGGAAGCTTGGATCCAGGAGGAAAGAC